GACTGTCCTTTTCATACACATGCACTCTGTCATGAATAAAATAAGTCAACCTAAACTATGTGTAGCTAACTCTAGAGTAAGAAAGTAGCTCAATATTATTGGGCAGACCCAAAAGAACCTTATAACTCTGATTTTTTTTTTTTTAATAAAATTGACTTGTTCTTCTATGCCTTTAAGAATATAGTCATTGATTATTTTCATTTAAAATTATGATTTAGAACCAGCCCTGTAGCACAGTGGTTAAGCTCTGTGCATGAAAAGCCAGATTCCACATTGCCAACCACAGTTTGAACCCCGGCCCCAACAGCTTGAAAAATGTATCAGGCATGTATGTGTGGATTCCCCAAATCCTGATGGAATGGAGAAATGGGGAAAAAAAAAAAAAAAAAGGATCATGATATAACCACACCCAGTTAGGCTCTCATTCTATCTCTTTCCCCCCCACCCTAACCCTGTCACAAGCACACATGCTCACTGGCCAAAAATTGTGATTTAATAACAAAATTTTCACCTAGATCAAGGACAAGCTTTTAGGTGATTATAGAAGAACTGAATAAAATACTTATAGCTACAATTAATTTCTAATAATTCAATTTGGAAATTAATTTAACTACTTAGCATGATTTTTTAAAATAGAGTTGTTATTTTTAGATGTGAATTTGGACATTGGATCTGGACATGACACATGTGGAGAAACATCTTCAGAGAGTTACAGTTCTCCGTCTAGTCCACGGCATGATGGAAGAGAAAGTTTTGAAAGTGAAGAAGAAAAAGACAGAGGTCTGCTCTTTGGGAGCTGGTATAGGGAGAGTTTGGGGGAGGGTTGGAGGGAAATGTTCGTTGTCTCTTAAAGTCATAGAAGGAATTTCATATTTCTGTAAATGTTATTATTGATTTTAGGTTTAATTAGTATAAAGGATGTTCTTTAGGCCATTGCCTTATTAGCAATGTTGACTTTAAAAACTTCTTTCATTGTGAATGAAATTAAATAGGAAGAAGATAGGATTGACAGAAAATACAGTTAGTGTAGAAAGATCGAAAAAGTGTGTTTTCAGATGTACGCATATGTGTACTTTTTACGTCATCCTGACTAATTGACCTTTTATCATTATAAGAGAACCTTCTTTGTCTTTAGTACAAATTGAATATTGCTTATCTGAAATGTCTAGAACTAGTATTTCAGAATTCTGATTTTTTTCAGATCTTGGAATATTTGAATATATATATATGAGATATCTTGGGGATGAGACCCAAGTCTGAACAGTTTATTTACACTGCACATTATACTTTATACACATAGCCTGAAGGTAATTTTATAAAATATTTTTGTATTAGCATCTTCAGTCACAACATCAGATGGAATTTTCCACATGTGGCATCATGTTGGCAGAGTTTTGGATCTGGGATCATTTCAGATTTTCGGGTTAGGGGCACTCATCCTGTAACAATTTTTGTCTTAAAGTCTGTTTTGTCTGAAAATAACAAAGCCACTCCAGCTCTCTTTTGGGTACTGCTTGCATGATACTTCATTTCCTATAAAACATACAGCCTATTTTACTTTAAACTTGTTTGTATCTTGAAATGTAAAGTTTGTCTCTAGTAAAACAATGTGTATCAAAAGATAGGTCTTGGTTGTTTAATCCATTCTGCAGATCACTACCATTTGATCTGATTGTTTAGTCCATTTACATTTAATGTAACTACTGATAGGGGAAGATTTATGTCATCATTTTGTAATTTGCTGTGTATGTATTAAGCCTTTAATTCTTCTTTCCGTAGAGGCTCAGTCAGCCAATAGTGAGAGTTCAGGCCTTTCCTGGGATTGCACATAGTCATAGGCATAAATGTCACCTTTTATATTCTCAGAAATGTGTTGAAGGTTTTCAAAGTCCTGGGTGGATATTTCAGTCCCTGGTTTTTTGTTAGAAGTATTTTAGTTAGCCACTTAGCCCCAACTCGTAATTCTGCTGTTAGTAAACAGTTGCCACTGATGAGTTATGACACATGTCTTGCAGGTAAGACATTCTTATACAGTTAAGTCTGAGCTGTGAGGTCACACAGTGATGGTTCTGTGATGGTGCAGCTTTGGGGGACTTCAAACTCATATTATCTGCTAGTGGTTGCTAGGCCACTGGGTTTTATAGCTATCATGGTTGAGGAGCTATTAGTATATAGGGCTACTTCAGAGTCAGAGAAAGGGAGAATGGGACTGGGGCAAGTAAAATATATACGTTTAGCTGGTTTTATTTTATAAACACCTCTCAGATTGCTATAGGCCTATAGTTAATTTTCAGAGTTCTAAAAGAGTTGATTCTGATCATTTTTGCCAGCATTCCTGTTGCTTTTATGGAGGAGTATATTATTAGAAAGCTTTACTCTGCTATTCTGGTCTAGAGGTGAAATCTCTTTGAAAATGTATATGTTGAATGAGGGTGTTATTTTTTATAGTTAATAAAAAACATCTGATTGATGATACCTTAGTTAGGACTTGTTTCCATGCTGGTGAGCCCTATCAGGTGATTTCTTCTGTGCCACCTCAAAGAACTATATAGAGATCCTTAGATCATACCATTTCAGCCAAGTGTGGTTTCTTCCTGGACAGTTTGCAGCTCTCTGGGATCTTAGTTGCTTCATTAAATGGTTTGTGTCTTAGGGAGTCTATGCTGTAGTGTTGCCACATCACATGCAGTTAAAGTTAGTCTTTATTGTGTAGTTATTTTGTAATCATACCCGATGTGTGACTTTATGTGTATGTATGTAGCTTGCACTGGAACTACCACCCATTCTACTAATCTGAGGGAACACTGCACTTATATTTTGCAGTTTTCTCATGAAAGGATAAAAATAAAAAAGGATTGGCCAGCTCCATGGCACAGCAGTTAAGCACTGGGCAGAAGAATCCAGATCCCACATGGCTGTCCAGGGTTTGAATCCTGGCCCTAGCAGTTTACATACTGTGCATGGGTGGTAAGCACACCCAGGATCTTGACAGGATGGAGAATCGGAGGAAGAGAATTGTGATATGACCAGGCCTGTTGGGGAGTGCTTTCTCTTTTTTAAAACTTTCTTGCATGCCCTTTGGCATTAAAAAATGAAAATAGCCTCTCAGCTATTATGAAGCTTAAATGAGAGAATTGTTACGCCTGATCCAGAAGGCAAGCTCTTAGCATGCTTCCATTGCAGGTTATACTTGCTTCTGCAGGATGCGCAGATACTTGGTGGCTCTTTAGCTCACTCACAGGTTTGGTCTTGTCAGCCCACGTGTAAGTGTGACTGACTCTACCGCACCCCTTTCCTGTCACCAGTGGCATGAGTGGATGGGCCTTGGTGGAAAAACTTGCCCTTTTCAAATAGGCTCACTTTTTAAATGACAGAACGAGCCTTCCCTAAGAGAAAAAAGTCACTTAGACATCTCTCAAACCGGGAAGATAACCTGAGAGAGAGCTTTAATCCTTCTTGAATTTTGAGTGGTTGAAGAGGTTGCTCTGAGAAGCGGATGGCTTTGTTGTCCTTTGATAGTGATAGTATCTTGTTTGTGACGCTCTGCTTTCCAAACTCTGTACAGAAAAGGTCAAGGGCTATCTAAATAAGATGAGTTTTTATACTGCTCAAACACCCATTTAGTACCATTTAAAATCGTGAGGCATAGGTTGTTAGTTCAGATTTAAACAAAGCCTAATTCATATAGAAATTTAAACACAGTCTGAAAAATGTCCCAGCATCTTTTGGACGTAGGTTTCTGTCTTTAGCTCTGTGTGGGTGTGATATATAGATACTATGCCTTAAATAGTTACTGACTTTTGGATACTTTGTTTTGCAAAGTTCAGCAAAAAAAAAAAAAAAAAAAAAAACCTGGCTTTTGACAGAAAGTGGAAGAATATGGCAGATTTACTGA